ACGAAAAGAGTGACCTGCCAGAATCCTAGACTTTAGAGTATTACAACCAAATCCAAATGATTTTGTGGAGAGCAGAATAAAACGTTTAGTAATTGCTGTTTTTGTTGTTGTTTTTTGCTATATTTTTATATTTTTGTATTATGGATTTATGTCAGAAAAAGCAACATGCTTATTATAAATGCAACCAATGTATATATAACTGAGTGTAGTGTCTGCGAGTTTTCTTATTTCTAGGGAAAAAGTGACACAAACATTTCATATCAAGGTTTCGTTACAATATCAATTGATTCATATATCCTCTGGTTTATAATTATGTCTTAATTTTATTTTGAGAACTTGAGTATGAATCAGATCGCTGTAATTGCTGGCTTTTCCTGTGTATACATTAAAAAAAACTGGTTCTGGGTTATTCATACAGGTAGGGATAAATGTCAAAATGCATAAGAAATGGAATGTATTTATGAATTCAATCCAGTAACCTTATACTTATATTGCATTCTTTCTAAAGCACAGAGAAAATGGTATCAATGATAAGCTATCTAACGAAGGGCTGTACATACAATTCTTCGTCTTTAACTCCGTGAAATAAAACAGGATATGTGGTAACATTTTTACTGCTGAAAAATTTTACTTTTATTGCTTTGATATTCGTTGTGTATGATAAGGACATTGAGTACAGTATATGCGGAATTCTCTGCCACGCCAGTTTCAATAAAATAAGCACAAAGCTTTTTCATATTACAGTACATAACCAGATTTCAGCAGACAGATAATTCAGATACCTAGTTAATACAGTAGCTCCTTGAGATCTCACTGCTTATTGTTGGAGTTGAAAATTCTATGATATTTGCAAGTTGCAATATATAAACATATATACAAGTGTTTATATATGTTCTATAGTATCATGTATTAATTATATATATTTAATACACACACGTACACACAGATATATGTGTGTGTGTGTGTGTGCGTGTGTGTGTGCGTGTGTGTGCGCGCGCGCAAGGTAGTTTCTTCACTAGTCTGAGTCTTTTACAGCTCATAGTTCTACCTTTTTATTTAAAACAATATTAAACCTTTTCCATAAATACTGATTTGTATTTCCGTGCTGAATATTTGCCACATTTCCCCTAGAGCGTCGTACAAAAACACGTTGTCATTACAGAGGAAAATTGTTGTTTGCGATGACTGTGCTGCGGCGTTGTGAATATTTGAATGTTTTGGGTCCTTATAGTTTGTGTATTTTGCGTTTTTTTTTTTTTTTTTTTTATTATTATTCCTATTTCATGTGACTAATAATTACGTCACTGACGGATCTAGAACAGCAATATAGAGTTCTTTCATGTTGGCTTTGGCTGTATATGTATGCTGGCGTGCACACGCATTCACGCACGCACTCACACACTTACGCACGGACCCCCCCACCCCTCCCACACACACCTATGTGTGTGCACAAATATATGTATGTATGTGTATGTGTATGTATATTTATATGTATATTTATATACATTTATATATATATATATATATATATATATAGATAGATAGATCGCAAGGTAGTTTCTTCACTAGTCTGAGTCTTTTACAGCTCATAGTTCTACCTTTTTATTTAAAACAATATTAAACCTTTTCCATAAATACTGATTTGTATTTCCGTGCTGAATATTTGCCACATTTCCCCTAGAGCGTCGTACAAAAACACGTTGTCATTACAGAGGAAAATTGTTGTTTGCGATGACTGTGCTGCGGCGTTGTGAATATTTGAATGTTTGGGGTCCTTATATTTTGTGTATTTTGCGTTTTTTTTCTTTCTTTCTTTCTTTTTTATTATTCCTATTTCATGTGGCTAATAATTACGTCACTGACGGATCTAGAACAGCAATATAGAGTTCTTTCATGTTGGCTTTGGCTATATATGTATGCTGGCGTGCACACGCATTCACGCACGCACTCACACACTTACGCACGGACCCCCCCCCCCCTCCCACACACACCTATGTGTGTGCACAAATATATGTATGTATGTGTATGTGTATGATATATATATATAGATATATAGATATAGATAGATAGATATAGATATAGATATAGATATAGATATAAATATATATATAAGACTGATATAATCTTTCCACCGTCGTCTGCACGCCCACACTTGAATTTTTCCCAGTATATTTCCTGTCGGTATATATGTGTGTGTGTGTGTGTTTATGCGTGCATAATTGGACATGCTTCTGCTTTCTGGCCTGAGAGACGGTGGGGATGATACACTTCCATCTGTGCATTTAAAACCTATTCAACAAAACTTTTGACTATAAAAGAATTTAAAGATCACAGTCAGTGAATACTATGAATCATGTAAATTCTGTTTAACAATTCAGATAAATCAACTCATATGCGAAGCAGTTATTACTGTTATTTTCTTTAACGCTGATTACAAAATATAGTTTCACTAAGATAACTCCCAATGCCGAATAGAAAAAAAAGATAGCAGATATTCTAA